GTGTGCGCGCATTTGTGTGTGTGTTGTGTGTGTATGTGTGTGTGTATGTGTGTGTGTGGTGTGTGTGTATGTGTGTGTGTGTGTGTCTGTTCAGTGTATGTGTAACAGAAGTTCTGACCACCTAACGGGCATGGACTAGTTAGTGCTAATTACTAATTAGTACATTAATTAATTATTTTTGCCAATGTATCGGAATGATATTTGTGAAATAAATTTTATTTTAATTTGAATTTTAATTTGATATAAATGATAATATTTGAAGGTAGGCGCCGCTAGGGTGCGCTGGTACTGCTTCATGGGAAGGAACAACATGTCGGTGAACACAAGCGGTACTCTGCTTGCTAGTTTATTTTACGAGCAATTTAAATGTCTCGGGCACCAGGTAATTGTGGCAATTGATCATTATTTACTTCTGATTTTAGCTGACTTTCTAATTTATTGTGTAAATAATGATTGGTCATAGTTCTTGTTGCTTTAATGGTAAAAATGTAACCACTTCACTGCCACTGTCACTGGCCAAGTCACTTGGCTCTTCAAATTCATTCAATTTCATGAATCATTTTACCCCCGTCCAGGCGTCCTCGACGACTAAGGTTTTCCGTTAATTGCCGGGCGCAAGTGAAAGTCTATGTCGGACAAGTTAATTATTAAATCTAGTTGCCCGACGACAACTGAAAAGTTCTAGTTGTTTAATATTCCTAACATCCATCTGAGCCAGGGCGCTATCGACCACATTCTCACTTCAAAAAGTTTCAAACGGTGCCCTGAAAACGAAAAATGCCCGCGAGCAACCTACTGTTACCAATTACAGATTTATTCAGAGGCGGCAATGGCGTATTTCCCTGGCGGGTCGCGGCATTGATCTATGGTACTCGGGTGGGGGTTACGATTGTTTAGCAGTCGCGGCGTGGGCATACTTCATTACGGTACTGTGAAATGTAAGGGTGGGCAATCGCGCTGTGATGAGAGGACGAACAGCAAAACTACTTTGCCTGTGATTGAAGAATAAAAGCTGCAAATCGGTATGGACACAACAAGTGAGCGCTGCCAGCATGCAAATCATAAACGTGTGAATTTTGGGTAACGCGATTACGATGTCTGTATTTATCTCGTGTATAAGTATAATTCATGTATATTATAAGTCTCACTGCATATTTTGGCATTGAAAAGTTGGTACAACATTGGTAGCGCATTTAAAGGGACTGACCTCTAGGATTTTACTAGCATACAAGCTGTACTTACTGTATAACAAATCATCTATACCCAGATGTATTTGTCACAGATACTTAATTAATTTAATTACATCAACGCTATACGAAATTTGAACCGGCGCCCGCATGACACCAGGACACCGGCGCCGTGCTGGGCCACCTGAAAAGCTTGCGTCATTCTGCATTTATTTTGGGGCAGGGTAATGCCGAGGGCTAATCCAAAAGTGATATTATATTTATACCTAAAGCTATTTAAAAACACACGAAGCGACTATTACATTTTACGGGCTATAATTTATCATATATACTGAAACTATATGTCCGTTTATAAGATATTACAATCTTTTGCTTTAAATGAAATAAATAAGAAATACCCTCGGTGCTGTAAGCCCTTGCTGGAAAGTGTTTTGCGGCAACCTTGCTTAGATCGTGCGCGTTGAGTGGCGCCACGTCGTTGTAATCAAACTGTAGTCGTTAGTTTTAAAACATTAAAAAAAAATGATTCTACAAGGTGATTGAATCCATAGAAAACTTTTTTGTAGGCGGCAATTAATAACTAAATTAGCTAAAATACGGCCTAGAACCTAGAGGCTCACTGTTTCCTAACAAGATTTCTTTAGCACTCGTGTGAGAGAGTGAGTGGCTGATTTTTATTGAAGTTGTGTACGCCAAAACGCGTTTATAGCACAAGTAAATAGCGGTATATATACTCGGTAAGTGTAATACACAATCGCACGGCACGGCATGCAACAGCCGTTGCGCGCGCAGACACACTGGCCTAGGTTATGTGCGAAGCCTGAATGCATGGCAGGGAAATACTGGCAATAAATATGAGGCGTGTATAATTGTTTATATAATATTTATATATGTCTAACATCTATGCTATTATGTTATACTATGTATATAATCTATATATTTATTATAATATAGATTCTATATATCACTGCCTGCATAATATGATATTCACTGAATCCAAAAGAAGACATTAACCGGCTCATAGATGTGCACAAGTAAATTTTTTGGAGCACGTAAAGATTGTCTTCTTGTTGCCTCGAGATGACAAACCAGATCTGAAATACCGCATCGAGGGCCTGCAGTCAGTAAGCTATATATTAATTATTATGTATTGTAGACTTTACTACCGTGATTAAACCACATTAATACTCAGACAAATAAATGTCCGGTTCCAACCACCATGGCATGCTACTTTATGCACAAGCCCATGCCAAATCTGCTTGCTCGTTCGCAATACGTTTTAGCTCATCTGACATAGTCAGATGGCAGCTTTGTAGAATGCGCCTTTGATCGTCCGTNCTGATACCATCCCTGTGCATTCCACTGTTTCGGCGTGTATGTGAACACATTTGGGACTAACAGGGTTTACTAGAATCCCTCCACTCCACCACAGAGTCACCGCAGTAGACGTTAGATGAGCGCTGTCGCTATGCGGCACTTGTTATTATGAATTATGTTATTATTTAGGCATTTGCTTTTTCAAAAATCTGTATCCGAAATGAGTTAAAGTCACGCTGTGACGCACCACAAATCATGTCAAATGCTAGCCTTAGAACTAGCCTTAGCCTTAATGCTCAGGCGCTTCCTGTGGCGGAGCGAAAGGCTATAGTTCTAGAGCTAGCATTTGACATGATTTGTGGTGCGTCACAGCGTGACTTTAACTCATTTCGGATACAGATTTTTGAAAAAGCAAATGCCTAAATAATAACATAATTCATAATAACAAGTGCCGCATAGCGACAGCGCTCATCTAACGTCTACTGCGGTGACTCTGTGGTGGAGTGGAGGGATTCTAGTAAACCCTGTTAGTCCCAAATGTGTTCACATACACGCCGAAACAGTGGAATGCACAGGGATGGTATCAGGACCCTTCTCAAAAGAATGTTCGTTGGGATCGTTATGAAAGTTGCCACGAG